TTCATAAGATAAAACATCAAATACCATGTTTTTGTACTGTTTTCAATTAATACAGACTAAACTGTATTTACACATACTGTCCCAACTTTTTTGAACCTGAGGTTTGTAAATCACTGTTTTCCAGTCCCAGGCTCATATTACAGTATGAGTCTGCCCTGCACTGTAGTGTTTTCCCTGCTTGAACCCACATTATTCAATACATCAACTAATATTCCAACCTTTCACAACTGAATCCATTACATTCTGGAAAATATAATAAAGATCAGCTAATTGAAAATACCAGTATACCTGTCCGTTCTGAGGACAGATCGAGTATAGACCACTAGAGAGATAAACTTTGATGGGTTTGTGTTTGTTTGGAAGGAGGGATTTTATTGTTGCCCAAGGATATGTTTGCATAAAGAAAAGAGAAAACCTGCATTAGCTAAGCATGACTGGTTCCATTTGAGATGCAGGCCGTTTTTGTTGAACATAACCAGTAAGATGTACTGTGAGTGAAAAGATCCACTTTTATAACCATAGACAACAAAATCTTGAGCTCTTGGATTAGCACATATATGAAGAATGAGATGTGCATCATGCTTCTTTTCAGAATTATAAGTATGGCCATAAACATGCTGCAGGGAAATGTAATGGAAGAATGAAGAGCAAGATGGAGTTAGAAAGCTTCACTTATACATAATATTATGTAACTGCAGTGCACAAGTATTATATAACTGATGTGCAAAAAGCGCTAATACACTATACACACAATAATAATAATAATAATAATAATAATAATAATAATAAAACACTGTAAATGGACAAGTGTTTGTAGACACTTGCTAATCCATCATTTATTCTGAAATTAGAGGTAATAATAGGGAGTTTGTCCCTCTTTGCTGCAGTAACAGCCTCTACTCTTCTGGAAAGGCTTTACACTAGATGTTGGGACATTGCTGTGAGGATTTGATTGTATTCAGTCCCAAAAACAGTTCTGCATCACCCCAACTCATCCCAAAGTTGTTGGATGAAGCTCCATCACTCCATAGAACACAGCTCTACTGCTCCACAGCCCAATGCCAGGGGATTTATATTCCTCTAGCCCACGCTTGCCATTAACCTTAGGCTCATGTGCAGCTGTTCCAGACTGTCCCATTCTATTGATCAATGGTTTTTTATGGAGATTAGACAAGCTGTGCAGGTGAACACTTGTGACAGCAATGTGTGCAGGAATTTGTCCAGTTTTTCAAACATTCTGAATAATTCAATCATTTAAGTTAAACAGTGGGTTCATTAATAGGATTGAGTGGAGTTTTTACAGAAACTTACCAAGTTCTCTAATTTATTGACTGGAACTTGACGCCCAAAACATTTAATGCCTCTAAAAGCTAACTCACAGAAAGTAATTAGATTAAGTATTTACAAAAATACTTCCGACATATTGTTTTATGGTAATTTTGAGATGCGGTTTTGTCCTAAAACATACTTTTAAAAATCCATTGATGGTGGAGAGGTACGGAAGGTGCTGTAAGGCAAAACAGTACCCAAAGAAAACTTTTTTTTTCAGATTTACCACTATTTTAACATCAACATTACATATAAAAACTCTGAAGGCATGTGTAGGTGCACTGGTGGTTTTAGATAGTAAATAAACTGGCTATATTTAAAAATACTTTTACTTGTTGGGTTCTCTGGTTCTTCTTACCGTCGCTGTAAAGAAATCACTCAGTAAAATTCTCTAAACACTTTAAATGACTTTCCAAATGTCAATGATTAATTGTGCAGAAATATGTAGGACATAAAAAGTGTGTTTTTAATGTGTCCATATTATCCACTCTATAAACCTGTGGTTTTATACAGCAGTTTTCATGATGGTGCGCTGATCCATTCAGCAGAGGTAGCACAAACATAGCCACAGGCATGAAGCCGTTTAGAGAAGTGGTCCGTGGCAACTACTGCAGTGAGCCCACAAGATCAAATTGGCTCTTCCTAACATTTCCAGGGCTCCATTCAAATTGCACAGCCTAACCTAGAGCACTGACAAAACTCCACAGCCTTTCTAATCTCTACCCAGCTCTGAATGAATAATAGATGAGAAATCAGCTTGTTCAAAATCATCTCCAGAGTCTACTGCTCCATCTCTTATTCAGTCTCTCTCTCTGCCTGTTGTTCTCTCTGTCAGATTCTTCCTTGCCGAAGCTCTAAGAGGTCCAAGCCCTGCTTATAGAGTCCAAAAACCAATGTTGTTCAAGATACATGTATAAAATGACTCTAATATGATGCTGCTACTCTACAACTTCACTAATTTTGACTAAAAAGTATGAAACTATGAAAATGACGGATGGTTAGATGTATGTAGCAAGACAATCAGAGCTGTAGATGATTCTACAATGACCAAGTAATCTGTTTATCATCAAAAATGAAGTTAATATCCAAAATATTGAATCTCAACTTCTCGAGAAATTACTGTTAATACATTATATCATTATATCATTAAACATTTAACTTAAAATCCCAGCATTATTACATACTAAGGCTTATTATTCAATAACTACTGGGACTTCAATACAAACTGGTTGAGCTATTCCTAGATTATAGAAGTGTGTAATAAAACTTTGGGCCCACCAATGGGCTCTGGCCATTTATGAATCTTAAAAAATTAGGAACAAAGAAAAATGATGATGATTAAAATTAAGAAGAACATTTTCAAATTATGCACCATTTCTAGATCACTATTTAAGTTGAGTCCAATTTCTGTAATTGATCATATTCAAGCGTTTATATGAAAAGGTTTTTTCCTTCAACTGAAGCTCGTGTTCAGACGACTCTCGAGTGGATTTGATCTACTGATCAGAGGCTTTTGCACAAACTTGTGGGGTAAAGACCAGCTTGAGTTCATGCAGTCATTAAAGCAAAAGGGGGACAAACCACATACTGCGAAATAATGAAATCCATGTACACATTCAAATATTCAACTTTTCACTCTGATTGTTATGCTAATGAGGTTATTTGTGATGAAAAAATGTTGTATTAAAGGACTGCACAATAGCAGCATTTTCACCAATGTCTCAGACTTTTGAACGCCCCAAAGTGTATAGACAAGGTACAAGGGTTCTATACAGCACCAAAAATGTCCTTTGACTTGTTAGAATAGCAGAACCCTTTTTGATGCTATACTGAACCATTTTGAAAAGAAAAAAGAGGAGGAAACTATTTAGCCATGCAGATGTGCATTTGAACTGTGTTCACAGTTGTGTTTAGAACCATTGTCTTCACTAAAGAACCCTTGAAGAACCATTGTATTGATGTGTATTAATAAGAAGTTTGTCCCCCCTTTGCTGCAGTAACAGCCTCTACTCTTCTGGGAAGGCTTTACACTAGATGTTCGAACATTGCTGTGAGGACTTGATTGCATTCAGCCACAAGAGCATCAGTGAGGTCAGGCACTGATGTTGGATGATCAGTTCTGGATCACTCCAACTCATCCCAAAGGTATTGTATGGAGCTCCATCACTCCAAAGAATGCAGTTTCACTGTTCCACAGTCCAGTGCTGGGGCGCTTTAGTCCCCTCTAGCTTGGCACTGCACATGGTGACCTTAGGCTCATGTGCGGCTGCTCCAGAGCATCCCATTCTTTGGTCATTGTTTTTCTAAGGGGATTATACAAGCCATGTCAGCAGTGGGTGTGCTTTAAAATAGGTGAATTCACTAATAAGAAAGGGCATCTGGACGGTTTTGGAAATATAGTGTACATAGTTAAAGTTAAGACGATGCTATATTTAGGAGAACCTCCTCCAGACTCCTCACCAGCTTGACTTCAAACATGTAAAGTTTATCCACATCTGTGGTCAACCTACCCCAACAAAGGCACACAAACTCACTCTCTCTCTCTCTCTCTCTCTCTCTCTCTCTCGCGCCTCTAATGAGCACATAAATGTGTTTCCGTGTTAAGTGGCGTGGTCCAGTGAAAGAAAGTCATTTATTGTTCATGTTGTAGTTGAAAGGTCACAAGAAATCTGTTCTGTTGCTGCTGCGATATTAATCTCGCCTCTTCTGGTCACAGCACTGTGCATATGGTAATTTTGACATTAGCCTAACAAGAGACATGCTGACCACTGAAAGAAATAATGTGGCCATTCTGTCACTTGAAGACCTCAGAAAAAAAACAAAAAGTTAACAAAAAAAAAAACACACCACACCCATAATAAAATAACATCAGTGTGGATGCAAAGCTGAGTGGCACCTGAAAGGGTCTATATCCTGTCTTTTAACCTCTCCTTTTCCTACAGAATTAAACAGACTGTTTTTTTTTTTGTTACTGATTGATACATTTAAATGAGCTCTGTTCTGATTGGCTGCCCTCTATTGCATTTTATTCAAAAAGCAGTTCGGGCTGAAACACTTCTTATAACTTCAACATTACATACATTGTTTTGATGACATCACAAAAGCATTCGTTTTAATAACATCACAAAAACATTTTAAAGCAGGTTGTTTTGGGGGGCTTAGTTTCCATATTTGGACTGTAGGTACTGAACGGTACCCTTTGAAACTTTGATATTGTTTACTTTTATATTAAACAAACAAATAAAACCCGTTGTCAGGGAAATGGGCCCTTTAATGTTGCACATTGCTAACCGGTAGCGCAAAACAGCAAACCTTTCAGGCAACTAGCAACAGTGCTGCTTGGTTACCGGTCACACGCTTTCCGATTGGCTGCGCGTCTTCGGTTACTTGAAGTCTATAGGTTGGTTCTGCGATCAATCTCTCTGCAGACCCCGCCCACGCATGGGCAGGCGAACGTCAGCTACGTCTTTTAGAACGCCGGCCGGTTGGACAACTTACGCCATGTGTTCTGCGAACGCGGGCGTCCGATTGGTTCCAAGCGCTGCGCACGCCCCGCCCATGCTGACAGAGCGGGCGTCTGATTGGCCGTCTCCTCCGACGTTCCCGACGCCTTCGCGCGCGTTCACATTTTCCGATTCTCGTCGCTAGGGCTCGCCTGCGCTCTCGTTGGCTGCCCGTTGCCCAGCTTCGCGAGATACGCAGACTGCGTAACGGCCGGCCGGAGTGACAAAGAGAACGAGCGCGGAGAGCGACGTAGAGAGAGGAGATAAAAAGGAGCAGATTTTCTGACTCGCCGTTTGGATTCCTGCTCCGGTTTTTCCTCACAGGATTCAAGGCTGGGACGTTTCTAACTCTCAGGCTGAGTTAGTGCGGGTTCTTTTTGTAGCTGTTGATGTGTATGGAGTTAGCCGGAGCGGAGGGGCCGCGGGTATCCGTCTACAAACCGGGCAGCTGGAAAAATACTCACTCGAATCGTTGGCTGAAGCGAAGAAGGGGAGCCGCCATGGCTGCTGGTGCTGCTGCTGCTGGGTCGTTGAGTCCCCACCTCAGTATATGAAGAAAAACACCAAATGGTGCCTCATTCATACGAAAAACAGCGCTCAATCCTCGGTGTTTAGAGGGCGTGCTGAGCCGTTCGGGTGTATTTCTGAGGTTTAAAAATAGCAGACCAGTTTTACAGTGACCAGAAAAGGGAGAACCGGCAGGTCTTTCTCGTTGTTGTTCGAGGGGAAACCGGGAAAAGGCCAGTTTCATGACTTAATTTCACCGACAGACGTGTATTCCGTGTTTTATAAGTGGACTCCATATACACGAAAACAAGAAATGATTTGAGAGAAAGACTGTAGGTGGACAGGAGTTGAAGAAAGGGTCCTTGGACGGCCCTCCTCCATTTTTTTTGTTGAACAAATAATTTAACTCGGAGATAAAGGGACCCCAGAGGGTCTGGTCGGATATCATTTCGTAACAGAAATAAGCGAATTCTCTAGGATACCAGGAGGACTTTCTTTAGGGGAGGGAGGGAATAATGTCTGGCCGGCCTAGGACCACCTCCTTCGCAGAGAGCTGCAAACCAGTGCCGCCCCCGTCCGCCTTCGGCAGCATGAAAGTCAGCAGTAAGTACGATTTTCTTCATCTTCATATCTACTGCATGTCTGAAAAAAACCTGTTTTTGAACGAAGAACGAAAATGAAGTCGGTTTCCCATTCACCAGCTTCTTGTTCACATTTTCCCGTTCCACCTTAAATGGTGCAGCAGTTACATTCTGGCGCCTGAGGCGTTTAAGGTGGAACGGGAAAATTCGAACAAGAAGCTGGCGAATGGGAAGCCGACTCATCCTCGTAAGTTAACCCCTGAGCGGGACGTGCCGTTTCAAATTAGAGAGAAATGGCGAACAGCTTCGTGGATGTCAGGGCTCGGTTCACTGCTTAGCTGAGATTTGAGAGTTCAGAGTAAGTGTCACCTTTTGGGCAGAGAGTAATGAGACATGCCCCATTTTTGACTCGGCCGGCATGCTGCTCACCAGCCCAGCAGGCCTCGCTGTGCTGTGGAAGAGGCGACCACAAGGGTCCCTACACTGCTGGGTGGTATGGTTGGGCGATACAGCAGCAATATTATATCACGCTACTTGAAGACATTTGCATTATACACGATAAAACACTATAATAATAAAAAATCTGCAACTGCAATTATTTTTGTTCAGTATTTTATCCAACTGCACTAAACTAAAGCCAATTAAACAGGCATAATTATGCTGACTTTGTTATTAAACGTGGTCAGTGAGTTTACTTTAAGTGCTGGTGATGTCCACGATATGCTCACACAAACGTATTGTGACCTAATTTATCACAGTCATGATAAAATATCGCAATATTGCCCACCTCTACTGGGTAGTATTGATAAGATTCATTCAGTGTTTTTGTTCGATGTCAGGAACACAAAGCTTAAGTCTGGACCGAACAAGGTAAGTGTGGCAGCACCCTTAGAATTACACCAGAAGGGAACCTGTCAATGTCAGTAACACACATCTTAAGTTACCTTCTTGTTCGCCAGCTTCTTATACTAATTTTCTGCTTCACGTTAAATGATGAAGCAGTCACAGTCTGGCGCCTGTACAGCAACATTTAAGGTGGAGCAGAAAATTCGAATAGGGAGGGTTTTAGCCCTGTATGTCTTCCCTAAGTAATCAGGTTGTTAGTGTATCAGATGATATTAAAGTTAATGAAGTCGTGCTTTTTGAGCATATACAAAATAATGTCTTGGAAATCTTGCATTGCTCGTTTTGGTTGGACTGTCTTGCACACCTGAAAGTCTGAACCGAGGTTTTTATGTTGTATACATTTGATCCAGTTAGTTTTGGTTTCATGCTGCAATTTAGTGAAAGGAACTTGGCATGACACACACATGTCCTGTCATCACCTACATGGGCTGTGTCTCGCTATATTTGACATTGGCTGGTTTGTAGAGCAGTGTTTCTCAAGCCTGGTCCTGGAGGCCCACTACCCTGCACATGTTAGTGCTTTTATGGCTTGAACACACCCACTTTAACTCAGTAATGGATGGTAATGGGCTGATCAGTTGGATCAGGTGTGTGTGGAGCAGGGAAAACACTAATAAGTGCAGGTGCAGTGGGCCTCCAGGACCAGGGTTGAGAAACACTGTTATAGACTGTGACGTCAGTTCGGCTGGTAGCCATTTCAGTTTGAATGGACAAAAATATCACATCCTCTCAGAAAGTAAGGTATACGGCGTTTTTATGATTTTTTTCAAGTTGACTTTTGGCTTTTTCCTTGGGCCATATTGCAGTTATATATTTTGTCTCCACCTCTTCCCGTGTGCCACCACAGCTCATTTTACTTCTCACCTAGTTCTTTTTCTTCTTCTATTGTTTAATGGGTGACGATAGCCTGCCTGAACTTCCTGTAATTGGTCTGAAAGTCTGAACCATCCAAAAAGTGTTTTCACACTGAAAATGAGCCGATCCATGATTCAGTTTGATCTGGACCGTCACCACCTATTTTGGTCGGACCACATTTTGGTCTTTTGGTCCAGACCGTGGTACAAGGCAGCTTTCATACTTGATATTTTGGTTTGGACGAAGAGGTACTGCACATCAGCCCATTTATCATCCATCGCTCTGTCTTTAGACCGTTTACACATCGGTTTTTAGAAAAATAATATTCCACAAGTTGATTTGTCACACTCCATGTAGGATTTGTGTAATAAAAGGTCTCTTATTTGTGCAATAAAAGTTCTTCTAATCAAATAAGCCCACTGGTAGATGAAGCCTTTGGGCTCGTCGTGCAGTGGTCCATTGTAAAGGGGGGCAATTCATAGTGAAGGAAGGTTTTACATGCAAAATAATGGTGACAGTCCTTCATGGTGCTGTGTAACAATGATAGTTACATCAAACCTCTGGCAAAATCAATAGCTGCTGACCAATAGGCTTACAGTAGTGGAGATCTCCATGTTGTGTGTCAATAGGTTCAGCAGTAAATGGTGGGTTGTCACACTCAGAAAAGGGCGTGTGATGCATTACGGACCGTAGATCGACCTTAAACAGACAAAACCTGACCAGTGGCACATGTAAAACAGAATCCTAAAGTAAATTACACCTTTCAGTGAGCACTCTTCATCTTACCTCCCTGATCTCTAGGCTCAATATTGCTGTTAATCTTAAAATGTGATAATGAAAGTTGAATATGAATATAAATGTATATATAAATAAAGACTTGCTGTTAAGTATTTTCTATTCATTACTGTACTGTAAAATATTACATAATTTATATAACATAAGTTATACAGTTATAAGAGATGAGAAACTGAAATGCGGGCCTTTAAATGTTTAAAGATTAAATCACCAGGACACTGTTTGAGGTTAGAGCCCTAACTTCAAGGATACCCAGTCCAGCGTGTAATGAAACCATAAAGGCCATGTTTTACTCCTTTTTTCTTCCTGCTCTGCTTGGTCCAGGTGTATTATAAGCAGGCATGAAGCGGAAATGTGGACCATGTATGGCAGGGGTGCCGAACTGGGTTCCTTCCGGACCACAGCGCTTAAGATTATAGCATCTTCCCTCCTCAAACACTCTGAATTAAACTCAGAAAGGCCTTGCCTTCATTGTGTTTTATGATGAGGAATGCCAAAGTCTGCATTATGGTGGCTGGAAGGAACCGGATTTGGCACCCCTGATCTATGGTGTCCCTGAAGATGAGGTTAAGAAACTGTAATTAGAGTTTTAAGCCTCACTCGTGTCCAAATACAAGAATCCTTGATGAGAAGGATGGTGTTAATTTGGTTCTGTGTTGGTTGGTGTGTGTTTTTCTGTTTCTTCCTTCCTTCAGGGTGTTGATGGAGGCAGTAATTTTGCCACCTGTTCTTTAAAGCCTCCTCCAGGAATGGCTCCAGTTGCCTGCATATTTTTTTGGACGTATTAAGAGTAATGGCTTTAAAAGACAGCAGTGCTACAAGAGAGTGAAAGTGTATGTGTTGTACAGTATGTGCTCTGTGCTTTCTGTCCTATTTTCAGTCCTTGATTAGAGCTACTTTGCTCACGATTTTTTCTTTAATGATGATGAGGTTAATGATCAAGATGAGATTAAGTCTGCCCAGTTTGATTAATTTATTTAGCTCAATAATTTGAGTTTGGTTGCGTAGAGCCTGAAGGCCTAAAGCCATTATGGAATGCAACTCTTCTTCTTAGTATAGATTTGGTAGAGATGGTGTCACCTTTCACTATTCTCCATTATCTACTGCCTGCCTGCCTGCCTGTTCTGTGTGTGTGTGTGTGTGTGTGTGTGTGTGTGTGTGTGTGTGTAAAAGCTTTCCTGCAACTTCAGCACAACTCTTGCCTTGGTGTGTGGGAGTGTTCCCACCTTTGCGGTCACTGAGTTTGTTGCGCTTCTCACAGTTATCGATGTGTTCCTGTTTCACCGTATGCGTTACAGTACACTGTAGTCTGTCTCTATACTCCATACCAAATCAGTTCAGAGTAACTTTAATTAAAATTACACATACAGTGAGTCAGAACAATACAGAACACGTATAAATCTGTGACCAGACCATGAATCAGTTCTTAGGGTAAAGCATTTGCACTTTTTAGGGCTCATTAATTGCAATATAATTACTCTGTTCTAATCAGAGTGGCATTAAAGATTTTTATAACCTTGAAAAGCAACATCAAAAGGTGATAAAGATGAAGTTCAAGAGAACTGAAGTGTAAAAAATCTAAACCTGACTACTTTTTTAGTGTAATAATTAGGTCTGTATGCTGGTTGTTTGGCAGGCTGTAGGTTCTTCACAAAAATAGCTTTTGTAAGCATCACTTGAAAGAGGAAACCCACACCAGCAGGAACTCACAAATGCATGTGTGATTGTTCCAAAGTTCATGTAGTAAAATGACATGTTACTGTTACAGGTTGTGTGTGTGTGTGTGTGTGTGTGTGTGTGTGTATATGAAACAAAAAGCTTTGTTTAACCCAAGGCTGAACAGCTCAGCAGGCAGCTAACAGGCTTCTCCAGGAAGGCTAGAGTATTGGTTTCACAGTAATCCAGAAACATATTGCAACATATAGAGAAGTAGAGAATGTGCCGCTTGAATGCCTCTTACAGACTTCAGATGCTTCAAATTTTAAGCTGAGCTGAACTAAGTAGCATTAAACCCTGTGCGAGATCTGAATGTACACCACCGCTAGCTTGGATCCAAGATAACATTGAAATTCCCATAGAAGCACCATTGGAAATCAGCATCGTCTTAGCTGTGTTACTTAAGCTACTTATTAAGTGAAGATCTCTGCATTAAACGTTGTGAAGAAAAAGCTGTTTTCCACTAGTACTTTCAGTGTTATCTTGGGGGCCAAGCTAGCGGTGGTGTACATTCAGATTTAATGGAAAGTCTAGTGCAAGTAGTGGTGCTCAGTCTGCTGACTTCTACTGCTACATAATGATCTACATAACTGTGGGAAGCTCATGAAATAACTGGCTCAAAGCAGCATTAAAGATATCATTAAAAATGACTTAAAATGCATTACATTGAATTCGCTGGTTCCTGCAGATGCTCTGATAATACATACAGAACATTCATAAGTGCTCATTAATCGCTTATCTACTAAAATA